TTGAGGTGAACATAAAAGTCCTGTACCGTTTTGCGATATTCGCAATAATTATCGAGATATTAATTGTAGAAAATTTGTGAATGATCATGCAGGATATGGTAAATGAGTTATAGTAGCGACGACTGCCGTCGTATACTTATACTTTAGGCCAAATTGAACAAAAAAGTCCTCTACCATTTTGCAAATAATCACATAGATTTTTAATTATTAATTAAAAAAGATGAGTACATTATCACGCAAAATCGTGTAATAATCTTCATTAATTAATAATTAAAAATCTATGTGATTATTTGGAAAATGGTAGAGAACTTTTTTGTTCAATTTGACCTAAAGTATAAGTACATGACAGCAGTCGTCTACTATAACTCATTTACCATATCCTGCAGGATCATTCACAAATTTTCTATAATTAATATCTCGATAATTAATGCGAATATCGCAAAACGGTACAGGACTTTTATGTTCACCTCAATCTGTTCTACGTCCCCACAAAATGCCCGGAGGAGAGTGTGAGACACCCTGTATATATATATATATATATATATATATATATATATTTGTCTAATTAAAAAGTTCTGTAACTTGTATTTACCGAAAGTGTGGATGCTCCAAACAGGAAAATTTTAAAGGACATTGCTATATTTTCGCATCTGAATTCAAAAGCTTAAGAATATTCGAAAAGTAGAAGATTTCTACACATGCGTGGTTAGGTTTTCCGCTGAATATGGAAAACAAAACAACACACATTTACGTAAATTTTGTACAAAGAAATACGAAAAGAACAGCGTGTGTTAGTTCGAATTCGTCAACGACTTCAGCATCCTGAAGCTGATAACTTTACTAACAGAACACTGACATTTTTCTGCAAAGTTTACGTCGTATTAGTTACACAGAATTACAAATGCTTTTACGCAATGTACGTGCAAAAATAAATAAGAGCATTGCTCGATATGTGACAAAAATGAACAAAAAATTTTTAATGTAAAATCTCAAGCTGTCAGCGTAATACTTGCCTAATCCAAAAGTTCCGCAGCTTGTACATACCGAAAGTGTGGATGCTCCAAACAGAAAAATTTTGAAAAACATTACTTTACCTTCGCATCAGCATTTGGAAGTTTAAGAATATCGAAAAAATTTGCAGGAAGATTTCTACACATATATGGTTAGGTTTTTCATTGAATATGGTAAAACAAAGCAACACACATTCATATAAGTTCTATATACACAAGAAATACGAAAAGGAGAGCGTGATTATGTTAGAGACGATCGTCTCTGCATTATCGACATTGTTCGAGTTTGTCATCGACTCCAGGATCCTCTTAATGTCCAGAAACAAATATGTATGGTTATGAAATAATGGTAACTTAACTTCAATGCTTATCAAGGCTATCCTGCTGGTTGAGATGCGTGTGTAGTT